GAGTGGAATTGGACAGCTCTATGTTTTGCTTCAAGTAGGCCGATTCCGCCTAGACGGCCCACCCATGCATTGGAGTTTTAGGTATGTCTTTATATTAGCAGGCTTGGGGTTCGTTCTTATTCCAAAAAAGCAAAAACAAAACCCTCATTGGTGGACAAAGGTTATGCAGGCTAACAATCAGTTCTGCAGCTACATGCAAGCAGTTCCAGGAATGTCCGTCAGCCACACGGAAGGCAGTTTTCCACTTTGGTCTTGTTCCAGAACATAGCCTTTTGCCAAGAATATCAGTGTTGCACCACCAGGTAAGAAACCCTTCTATCGTGAAATGCGAAGTATGGTATTAAATGTATATAGGATTCTACTGCAAATCCTGCATTTTAAATAGGAGACACAAATAATTCATCCCCACCTCAAACCGTTGCTTTGACTTTTATTCTCCATAATTGAGATCATGTGTTGTGCAGTCAAGAAGAACGCCAGATATTACTCATAATTCTTTGTGAACTTTGTAATGAAAGGGACGGGAAAAGAGGACAATTTCTTTTCATTTTGGTATGCTGAGGGCTTTAAATTATTAGGGTGGGGAGGAAATGTCGACGGAACATGAAAGCTCTTGGTGCTGCTTTCGCATGTGTTCATGCTTTCAAATCCACTGTGGCTGATTAGTTCATCGGAATGATGACCAAAAGAGAGCGAGAAATCAGAGGATGAGTCCAGGATGAACAACAGCTGGCTTCACTAGGAACAGGGAATGGGACTGGGTGGCTGAGAGGTGGCCATGAAGCAGGACAAAGGTGGTACGCATGGATGGATGGATGGATGGATTTATAGTTATGTGCTGTCAAGTCAGAGCTGACCGACAGCGACTCCGATGGGGCTTTCGAGGCAAGGGAGATATTGAAGGAGGGGATTCACCAGTCCCAGCCCTTCTGTGGGGTTCCATAGCTGAGTAGGGATTTGAACCCTTGTCTCTTGAATTCTTGCTTGACACACTGCCTGCTACAACACCCTTGGCCTCCAATTAACGGTCAAGGAAACTTCCTCTGGTTGTATGGCAGTTCCACGGAGAAAAGCAGCCGGCCCAAGGCCACCCAGGCTGGCTCTGCTCCCAGGAGGCACAATGGGGGAATCGAACTCCCTGGCTCTTTGGCCAGAGACCTAAACTACTGAGCAATACAGCGAGCTCTTGGGATTCTAAGCATCCTGATTTCAGACAGTGCAATTTGCTGCTTTAGATTTAGATCACTCGACAGAATGCTTTAGGTCAGCCCTGGTGGCGAGCCCAGATAGCACCGGGGAGCTCATAAGAAAGCCATATAGGCCATCGCTTTCTATAATTGGTTTTCTCCCGGAAGCACAGCGCCTCTGAATGTGAAGCTTCTGGTTTGCTACCGTGGCTAATATTAATGCCTTCTAACACTAATTGTCATGTTCTCCCAACCACACATAAAAGCTATGTGAAATTTTATGCTTCCCCCTTACTAAAGACTCCACTTACAAATTCACTATGGTCATTATATTAATTGTGGCGAGCCTCAGGACCTGATCCCAGCCCAATATGTAGTTATGTGGGAATTCTGGTTTCTGGAAGAGACAGCTGTTCCCAAGCTGCCTGGGTGTGTCCCACATGTGGAGCCTTCAACGCAGAGAGAACAAGCTGTGATGATGCACCACCGTCTTCAAGCTTCTCCGGGAGGTTGCTTTGCAGCCCCACTGACCCTGAACAAAAAGCATGAGAACGACCTCTTGCAAGGAGGGTGATTCAAGGCAGTTGAGGAGGAGAAAAAAGGTTGAAGGAAAACAAACACAGCCTCCTGTGCCACAAAGAGCCCTCTGCCTATTACTGACAAAACAGCATTCAGGGCCATCAATACCTTCCCATGACATATATTTTCATCTGTTGCTAGAGCAGTGTCCAAACGAATGAATGTCCATTTCGTTGCAATGTAGTTTGGAATCATGTGGCCAGAAGCTTTGCCTCCAGTCCTGTCAGACTCTGCAGAAATAAATCACACAGAATTAGTGGACGCTGAGTATGCAACGCAATAAAATGGTGAATTTAGGTTCCAGAAGAGTGGCAGGAACTGCATCTAGACGCGCCCATGCGTCCCAAGCTGTACAGCGTGTCACTGAATTGTTATGATCACCAGCCTGTATCTGGTCCATTTGCTATTTTCCTTTATCTCTCCTTGTCCTGTCCTCCACTTAAGTAGGACTGTTAGCAGTCCTGACCAAGCCTCCCACCTCTGAAGACTACCCAGTGCTTTTTTTAAATGGCCCAATATATGTTTATAAAACATTAATGCAAACCATGTGTTACATACAGCACTGATGTTACCTGTCTGTCATGGGTTTGGAGGGAAAGTTCCATCCTATGGGGAGTGGAAGGCGGGACATCAGGAGGAGGGGCTGTACTGTATATATATGTGGAGCCTGTGTGGTGAGAGGAGAGGCTGAGACAAACACTGGGAGAAGCTGAGAGACACTGGGTTGTGACGAAGCAGCAGCTGGGAAGAAGAAGCTGTTGTGGGAGTCTGTGTGTCAGACAGGGTACTTCTGTGTGTCAGAGTACCAACCTGATAGGTTCAGGTGTCTGTGGGTTAGCCAGAACTGATAGGTTCAGGGTCTGTGCTTTAAGTTAAGGGTTCTGGGTGAACCAAACTGTATGCTTGTATGAGTGAGAATAAGCCACGTTACTTTATCCTATTCACCTGATTGTTTATTTTTCCCTGTGTGTATTTAAATAAACCTTATTCTTTTTATTGTTTAAAAATCCATCCCTGGTCTGTGTGACTTATTAAAGGGAATGGTTGGTGGCAGCTTAGTGTAACTGTGTGACATATCCCGGTAGGTCTGGGTTTGTCACACCATGCTTCTAGGCCTCAAGGTTTATAGCTTCGAGTTCATCATCTCAAATACCTCCTTGACTTCCTTAAAGAATATGGAAGTTAACCAGAGAAAGGCTTAAAACATGGATCCTCTATGAACTCTCTTTTCCTTTTCAAAGGAGAAAGCCTAAGTTTCTACTTGTAGAAAATACGACACACAACCAGAGGTTGGTTAAAATGCAGCTACCACCGTGGGATCTAAGCTATATTGGCTTCATCTGCTTCAGATGGAAAAGAAATCAAAAGTTTTTTTTATCCAGAGAGGGGAACACAAATTTTGTTTTGGGATTGCTGGAAACAGCTTTCATTTTTCCTTTTTGGCTACTAATCCGTAAACCACAAAATAGTCATGCTAAAAGAATCCAGTCCTAGCGACTTCTATGATTGTTCACTTTCCTTGATTATCTGTTTTGTTTTGCCTTATTTCACTAATCAACTGCAATCAAGAGAAAACTATGCTTCGCTTCAAAACACTAGTTTCAATCATTAATTGGATTATTGTTTAATATTCTCTTAAGAGGTATATTTCTTCTTATGCCAAGGTGCTCAAAAACAGAGTGCTGTTTAATTAAAATTGAAACCACGATCAGCACTTGAAAACACAAAAGGATGAACAAATAATAGTCCCATGCAAACATCTGGACTACCAGTGGTTCTAACAACTGTAACAGAAGATGGACCTCAGAATGCTTTCCCGAAGCTGGAAAGCATTTAAGTAAAATACTCATTTTCCTTTCACTTGAGGTCACCCAGGTATCCAAGTAGAAAATGGCAGGCATGCCAAAAAAAGCAGCTAAACTCCCACCCAAAGAAAAGGCCAGGTTTGACAGGGCTGGAAACGGGCAGGGACATAGCCGTTTACTGAAGACAGAAACTCCTTTAACTGTCCTGAAGCCCAAAAACAAACGGAGGACCTATCTGGGTAGCGACAAGGGGTCCAGCCAGCACAGAAACGGAGAAATATTCACCAGGATTCTTATAGCTTTTCCTTCTCCTGGTTTCTCTCACACTTACAGCAAAGTTGCATAACATGCAAGAGCTGACAACGTGCAAGAACACTGTCAGGACAACACCAACGTTACAGGAGAGAGAACAGGATATGAAATTTGGCTGTGCTTGAGAGGGGAACATTTCTCTTTGTGATTTTCCATTCCTGTCAAAGCCTAGCAGGGAAAAAGACCCACAAGGCTTCTGCTCTGCTGCTCTCATGCGCCAGGAGCCATTGTGCAAGGCCCTTGGCCTTCCAAGTCTTATTTCAATTATAAACAGCGCTCTCTGCCTTGCTAGGTTATGCCTTTGCCAGTTTTCACTCAACGATGGCTTCGTGTTGCTTTCCACCAACGTATTCCCATTGGGAGTCATCAGTGATTAATGACAAACAAGACATCTATGAGAAATACCCATCGCTTGCTGAACACTGTGTTTCGGCTCGGCCCTCAAGTGCCACCTAGTGGTCAGTGGGCTAAACTCAGAGGCAACTCACCCCCTCTCCCCATCCGCTCAGACCACTCCTTAATAAAACATGTCAGCACGCAACAATTAGAAATACACTGAAAAGGAGGAGAAACATTGTTCCTTGCCTTTCGTGAAAGGAATAGTAGTGATTTCCCTCCCTTCTCTGCTGCAATACTCAAGCGGTTGTTATGAGACGTGGGATACGACTACGAAGGTGCCCGTGTCTCCCTACTATATAGAGGTGACCTCAGGAAGGCGCCACATCGCATGGCTTGAATGCTGACTTGTGCTGGGCTACGACCTCGAATTATGGGATAACCCTGAGAATGCTGGGAGAAAACAGCTTTCATGGAGGCAAGGCGCAGTGGTGGGAAGTGGCTTTGTTCTGCTTGAAGTGTCGGCCCTTCTGCCACACATTCTGGCAGCGCTTCCCCTTCTCTTCAACCATTTTAAGAGAAGGAGTAGGAATGCGCCACCGTCAGCTGGTCCTTGGTGGCAGCAGGATCACTCTCCTTCTTCGTACAGGAAGGAGAGGTAGGCCCTCTCAATCAACATTGCCAAGAGCTTCTGGGGAAATGGGTGTGGCTATATTTATTGTACACCTAACAGACTCAGCCTTTATCCTTCTATAATACACATAATTTCGTAAAAAGCAAGTGTAGAAAAGAAAAACCTTTATTTACACCAGTATGTTTTTTGCAAAGACAAGAGGAAGTCATTCAACTGAAGAGGTGTTACTGCTCTCACTTCTGCCCGGTGGATCCAAAGCCTCCTGAGCCACGCTCCGTTTCATCCAAAACCTGAAAGAAACCCATGTTAGCCTTTCTGAAAGTCACCACCCCTCATTCTAATAATTTTTAGACTCTTCTACTTATACTGTATACCAGTTTGTTTCCTGTTTGGGTGTAAGAAATTAACCCACAGAATGAAACAAACAGTAAATGACAAGCTTTTGCCATCAAAAGTGTAATTAAGTAGCAAATGGCACACTGTTTCCCCCCCCTTTCTGTTTTTTGTTAACAGCAACCACTACTAACAGTGTATCAATTTTTTTTTTACCTGGACTTCTTCAAGCTCTGGATAGTAGATCCGTTCACAGATGAGCTGGGCAATTCTGTCCCCCTTTTTAACTTCAAATCCAAACAAACATTTAAAAACCTCATGGTATCAATACTTTAAAAACACAACATCACCGTATTAATATATTTTAAATATATCCCCCTTTTTTGCAAATCTTGAACTCACTGGTCCAAACCTAGTTTAGTAAGTCGCACTACAGTAGATCCCACAGAATCAGTGGGGATTTGGTGAGTCAATTTCTTCTTAAGTTCCATTGATTCAAATAGGCCTACTCTATCTGCAACTTAGTTGCGCCTAATAAGCTTCCTCAACCTATCTCTTTAGTGCTACTTCCCTTCCTTGTGTAACAAGCTAGCTCTCATACTCTATCTCTGCCTTCAAAACCCATTAATTTAAGTCTGAATAACCCCCTGTGTATTAGGTGTTGGATAAATTAAGCAAGCCTCTGCATGTTTCTGAGTGCAACCATCGGCAACATTAAAATCTATGTACAGTATTTGAACATTTTAAAGAGAGAATGTTAAACCCCTTAAAATAATGACATTCACAAGGCACAACAAAAGTTTAAAGCAGTATCGCATGTTTTCATCACAGCTTCCTAACTAAGCTTGAAAAGCCCAGTTGTTTAATATGGAAGTACACAGAGTTAGATCATATTTATATTCCTGCATCAAGCAGGGGGTTGGACTTGATGGCCTTATAGGCCCCTTCCCACTTCTATAATTCTATGATTTAAATAGAAAGCAGAATAGGGGAAAGTTTAAAAAATGATTCAGAAATGTATCCAGTTTAATCCTTACCTTTAAAGGGTTCCCTCCCAAAGTTAAATAGCACAACTCCAACATTTCCTCTGTAATCCTCATCAATAACCCCAGCTGTAATAGAGAAAGTTCTTAGCAAATGTAACAAAGTTCATGCTTTTCACAGTATATTTATGTTTCAAACATCTGACAGGTGAAATGACTGATTTACTATAGATGAAATCCTCATTTACACTGCAGTTAGTCAACCAATACAGAGAATACTGTAAAATGTGCCTGGGAATGAGCATTCACTCAGAAGGGTCTCTCCCACACCCTTCCACAGTTTGGGATAATTGTTTCGGACTACAAATCCCAGACTCTTCCAGGAAGCATCCCACTAGCCATAATGGCAGTGGGATTCTGGGTGTCAAAAAGCAACTGTTCTAAGTTCTGATTTAATCTGAGCTTTCACCTGACTGGAGAAATGGTGATCTCAGGACATTAGAGTACATATGAACCTTGCCATGCAGCAAACAGAGGTACCACAGGTATTAGAAGATATAGACAGCGACAACTTACCACCGACATCTATGAAATGATTTGCAGCTAATCCAGACCGAGGAGCTATAAAACATTGGGGGAAAATCTACCTTTAATATAACCAAAACTTATTTTTGTAAACAGACAAGTTATTTAGCACTTATTTCTATGCACTTGTAAAAAACGATTGGGAGAACACCCATTAACAAAACAAGCGTCTCAGAATGGCCTGCTTTGCATGTAACGGTCCGCTGAGCCTGAGCGTTCTGTATTCAAATCTTCTGCAGCAGCTTTCACAGGAAAAACACCTAGTAAGCAGTTTTGCAAGATTATGGGTTGCCTCTGAACTCACCTACTCGGCCATAGCACCCAGGAGGGAGAGAAATCTGAATATCTGTTTTCACGACGGCTTTCCCTGAAGCAGGAATCTCATAGTCGTAGGCACTATGAAAGCAAGCAAGTGAATGGTCATTTCCGTTAAGACAGCAGGCAGATGTTTCGCGGGTCTGAATTAATATAGAAGAGCTTCGCTGGGAAAGGGAAGCTATCTTAGTTCGTATTTTTATGATTTGCCATAAATGCCTTTCCCAGCAAATTTTTTATCTACTGCCTTTTGAAGGCTGGATTGTAACTGGATTGGGACACGATCTGGGCAGCCATATCTTCTCTCCCTAACATGTTATTAATTCTTCCTTAATATTTCATGCTATTAATTTGTTGGTAATTGATGCCAATCAACTTAATGCTTCCTTTGATACTTTGCATTATTAGCTACCCTTTGACATGTGAGCAATGTATGCTTTTCATATATAAGAGATACAGTAGGGCCCCCTCTATTCATGGGGTCAGGATCCGCTGATTCACTTATCCACTGCATGAAAATACTTAAAAAAAAAACCCAGGAAAGCTTATTTATAGGTACTGTACAGGGTGTACAGAACAGAACTAGCCCTTAGAGGGCGCTGAAGAGCAACGCCGTGTAGAGCGTTCCGGTTCTTCCGCGGTTTTCGGCATCCGCGGAGCGGAGGTTTGGAACCGATTCCCCCGCGGGTCTCCCGAGGAAAAGGGGAGGCTCACCTATGGAGGTCGTATCCGGCCGCCCGCGAGGAGCCCCGGGAAGGGGCCGAGGCGTTCTCGGAGAGCCGAGCGAAGCGCAGCCTCTGGGCGGGAGGCTCCTCGGAGGGGCCCGGGGAGGGCTTGGGCCGCTTGCTGGGGCTGCACGCGGGCTCTGCTCCGGAGCAAGGCATGGCTGCAGACGGAGGAGGAGAAGGAAGAGAAGAAGAAGGGGTGCTCGGTTCTGAGGAGAGAAAGAAAAAACGGCGGGAGATTTCAAAGCCCGCCTTTTCTCCGGCGCTCAGCCGCTAAGACCTCCAAGCGCCAATCAGCGCGCGGCAGGGGGCGGGCCTCCTGCGAAAAGACCAATAGGAGGAGGAGGCTTGGGGGGCGCGCGGACTGAGGGGGAAAAGCTGCCGCTCCTGTTTCATAGAGAGAAAGGGAAAAAAGGGGAGGCGGTTAGAGTAGCTCACAGCTTCAGAAAGGAGACCTCGGGTGCCCCCAGATGTTTTTTTTGACTACAACTCCCAGAAGCCTTCACCACCATTTCTTTCGGCCAGGATTTCTGGGAGTTGAAGTCCAAGAACGTCTGTAGGCCCAAGGTTGGGGACTGCTGCTCGAACGGACAGGATTAATCCGCGAAAGCTTGACGTGGAAGGGCTTAAAAAATATTCCCTCGTGTCTAATATATATAAACCTAAATCCTTGCCACGCCGTCCAAACTCCCTTCAGCGCTCCCCACCCCCGCCCCCACCCCCTGCCTTAGCCAATGGGAAACGAGCTCG